AAATGGGAGTAAAACGCTGAAATGGGGGTAAAACGCTGAAATGGGGATAAAACGCTGAAATGTGGGTAAAACGCTGAAATGGGGGTAAACCGCTGAAATGGGGGTAAAACGCTGAAATGGGGGTAGAACGCTGAAATGGGGGTAAAACGCTGAAATGGGAGTAAAACGCTGAAATGGGGATATAACGCTGAAATGGGGATAAAACGCTGAAATGGGGATAAAACGCTGAAATGGGCAAATTTAATCGAATTCGTTGTTTGCTAGACCATTGCGAACACATGTAATTTGCCTATAAAACTGAATAAATATAAGAAAGAAGTTCCCGGTAAAATGACAACCACAAATTTTCGAAGAACGAATATAATCTGACAGTTTATCTTTTATTAATAATGTAATCTACAATTTTCTCCATATAACTTCGAACTCAACTTTTTGTGATAGCATACTATCTTCACACTGCCATATGGCTGGTATTTTGGGTGTAAAACCGGTGTCACAGCAATTTCCCGGGAATTGTCAGGACACGTGTCTAAATCGGAAAAAACGTTTTTCTCCTCCTGCCTACACGCGTAAAAATCATGAACTTGTAGTTGCAATGTTGATAAAAACAGGTTGCAACAATAATGTGCTACGCCTATTGTTCACGAATGTTAACAATATTGTTCAGCATTGTTGCACCCCATTCAAGATGAATAATATTGTTCAATGTTGTTAACTGTAAAAAACGTAACAGGTCAGCATAATATTGTTGCAACCTGTTGTACAGGCAGTACAGTACAGTACAGTACAGTATATACAGTACAGTACAGTGCAGTGCAGTACAGTACAGTACAGTACAGTGCAGTGCAGTGCAGTGCAGTACAGTACAGGCAGTACAGCAGGCTCAGCGTTTTTGGCCGTGTAGAATTGAACAAACTAACTGAACAAACTAAAAAACAAAGCAATATCGACATCATGCCACGTCAAATTTGAGCACCAAACTCTCGTAAAAAGCGCACATGTTCTGGTGTTAAATAATATGGCAGCCAATTTGGTACACTTACGCAGGCAGGGTTAAAATATGGCTGTTTCATCTTGAGTTAACTCAAATTTACATGGAAATATAGATTTTGTTCTTTGAACATCAACTGTCCATCAGGAGTATTAGGGTTAGGAAAACCTCTATTCATACGTGTAATAATCGTCAAATCATACGGTGGATTTTGCGATAATCCCGCCGAGTTTTAACGATTGGGAACACCCAAAACAGGTGCGAACTAAAGGAGGACAACACTGCAAAAGACTAAGAACAAATGTTCCTACTGGAGGATTCTCAGGATTGACAGCGGTAGGTAATGGGACCTGTTTGGATCCTTGTGGCGTTGCTGACGCTGACCGAGGTGCATAAACTGGCTGTTGCATTGACGTCATATAACATAGAAAAAACTATCCTAACATAAAACTAAACCCTAACCCTAATACTAACCCTTACCCAGTAACCCTAACCTAACCTAAACCCTAACCTAACCCCAACTTATTTTAAAAATTGATATAAAAACGGAAACCTTATTTTGAAGTATACTATCTAGCAATTGACCATTTGCGTAATAGACTAAATTTTGATCTCAACAAAAATTTCATTACAGCTTGAAAGAGCATCACAAAATTAGTAATATTCCAAAGTTTCGTTGCAAAATGTTGCAAAATGCGGAAAATATAGCCTTGCGAAATTTGCAATTTTCAGTCATTTTAGATTACAAACCGGAAATTGACAGCCTCGACGGGTTTGGGGCTGTCAATTTCCCATTTGTAATCTAAAATGACTGAAAATTGCAAATTTCGCAAGGCTATATTTTCCGCATTTTACAACATTTTGCAACGAAACTTTGGAATATTACTAATTCTGTGATGCTCCTTCAAGCTGTGATGAAATTTTTGTCTAGACTTGTTTAGTTCAAAATTTAGTCTATTACGCAAATGGTCAATTGCCGTTCGCAATGGTCTAGCAAACAACGAATTCGATTAAATTTCCCCATTTCAGCGTTTTATCCCCATTTCAGCGTTTTATCCCCATTTCAGCGTTTTACCCCCATTTCAGCGTTTTATCCCCATTTCAGCGTTTCGGCCCCCATTTCAGCGTTTTACCCCCATTTCAGCGTTTTACCCCCATTTCAGCGTTTTACCCCCATTTCAGCGTTTTACCCCCATTTCAGCGTTTTACCCCCTTTTCAGTTTCCGCTTTCAGTTTCCGTTTCCGCGATTCAGTTTCAGCGTTTTATCCCTACCCGATTTTGGGTATTAGAGCAGAAGATGGTCTGATAAAACACGCACTGCGAATGTTTTAAATTGCTTCAAAAACGATCGATGTGGCGAGGTATAGCCAGTATAGCTATCAATATAAAGATATACGACACGTTTATGATGTGTGTTTTCCTCATGAATTATTAATGATTTTTTAAAGCTATTTTAGACAACAGTCACAGCACAGAGCTTTTATCGTTTAAAAGGCTCCTGAACCACGGTTGTTTAACGTATTCTGCCCGGCTGCCGTATAGCAAATAACAGTTGAGCATGTTTTGAAGTGTTATTCTTAAGATATAAAATCATCATCCAACCTCATATAGCTGCAATGCCAACTATCTGGTCTTGAATTATACTTTAAAGTGAACAAATAACAAGACGACTATACGAAATATTCGATACCGCTCGAGCAAACTTTGATTTGCCGACATGTTTAAAATTATTTATAATTGAAAGATCAAACTTTTCCGTATTCGGCGTAGGAAGAATCGCGATAACCGGCGTCTTTACCACGTTACACTTAGCAAATTAATAATAGACTTTCCCTCTTCTAGTTTCAACTGAATTTCGAAACCTAAATAATTGAAATATAAGAGAGTTTCCTCGAAAGTATTAACAGGCGGCATATTTTCGATTAGCCTCCTGCGCAGACGTTGTTACTCGGCCACTATTAAAAACGTCTGCGCAGGAGGCTAATTTTCGATACGCGAGCAAAATTATTGTTGACATTTGAGTTACGTAATTACTTTCGTTAACGAGATTGACCAATGGGAAGCTTTTCCGAAGTTTCTTCGGTCAAGAACAGATTTGTCATAGGCATTTGGGCAGGCGTTTATTTAACGACGCCCTCTCTTCTCCCGCCCGCACTAAACGCCTGCTACGCAGGCTAATTGCAAGCCTATAACCGAATGCGACTACTTATTTTAGTACAATTTCAGTATTGAAAAAGTTTTATTTATAAATACAACTAATATACACGTGTTTATTTTATGAATATAATTCCATAAATAATTTACTTCCGTCTGATTTTCAGCCATTTTTAGAAAAGAAATAGTTACTGCTTAGAGCAGTCAACATTTAATTAGGTAATTTACGGACATTTATTATACTCCAACTATACCAGGAGCGCTTGGATCGTGGTATGTAAAAACCTAAATTTAAAGCCTGTACGAGTTTGTTCCTTTTTCCAGGGTCAAAGATGGCCACCATCATGATTTTCTTTCTTAAGCTTGTAAAAAACAACAGGAAAGCAGGAACTATAGCCTTTTTTGGCATTGTAGATATACAGAACTGTTTTTAATTTTTTTTATTAATTAAACAGAGCAAAAGCTGACTGTGTTTTGAAATACGAGCGGCTTAATTAAACTCATGACAACATGCAGTCTTGAATTTCGTAAAGATAATCTTTTAGCGTAATCTATGGCATTTTCTCCCACTATTTGGTATAAACAAGAAATTAAACTATTTGGTTTGGCATACATAAAATACGATCCTTTTATAAAGCATTTGGTCAACGAATTTCCACCTGAAGCCAACGACCTAGCATCGTTCAACAATTTCGCGGCAATCTTAGCTCAGTTTAGTAAAATGGTTTAAAAACTCAGTCCTAGTAAATTATTATAGATCAGTGGGGTTATTTTACTCTGCAATGTCCCTTAGGTGGTCCTACCGTTATAACTTTCGCAAATATATGACGATTTCAATTGACAAGGCAAATCTCTCCACTCAGTAAAATACGATCTCGTAATAGCCACACAATCTTCCTGTTGTTCATCATCATGTGGTTCACTTGATCCCCATTTAGCGTAATAAAATGCAGAATCATCAGACCATTGATAGTAACCTTCAGAGCTAATATCATTCAAGCCAATCCAGTATGCATAATCATCACCGTACCTAGGAAAAAATTATTGGTTATGGTTGGCGCCGAGCGAGAAAAATTTTTAAAATTAGGGTGCCTAGATCGTCGGAAACGATTGTTTCAGACATTTATCTATTCATATTCATACAAAACATTTAGACAATTTAGCGTCACTTAGTTTAGTGGCGGAACTTATGGAAATTCATTTAATAAACTCCATAAAAAAAGCAAAACAACTTCAGGAAAACATGATAAAAATAATCTGTAATAATTATTTTATTTCAGCATGAACAGCATTACTAATTACATTACAAACAACTCAAACGAGTTTTTTTTTATAACTTTACTCTCGCATGCTCAGATTGGGTGCAAACTGCAAACAATAATCGAAAAGTTATGATGCTACACTAGAACGACAATCATCATTGCCAACGAAAAAGAAGTACATAAAAGCATACAATAAGCCGTAGACTAATATGTAAATGCGAGACAAACTTCCTGTGCCGGTTAGGTGAAGACTGGTGCAATTTTATGTACAAGTTAATATAGAAATAGTAAACGAATAACATAGAAATTATGTGTCACCACATGTCATCATGAGTCACCACATTTGAGTGGATATTCCCCTATAACTCTGGTTATCTAATAAAAAATAAAACTTATAGTAAAAGAAGATATGAAATTATATATTGGGGTCTCCATATTCAAGTGTTTATCTCCCTAGGAAGAGTTGTATCATGGGCTCACCGCATTTGAGTGGATATTTCCCTTATAACTCTGGTCATCTAATAAAAAAGTTAAAATAGACCTTATAGCAAAAGCAAGATATGAAATTATATTTTAGGGTCACCACATTCAAGTCAAGTGGTTATCTCCTCAGGAAGAGTTATATCATGGGCTCACTTGGGCTCAGTTGGGCTCACCAGATTTGAGTGGATATTTCCCTTATAACTCTGGTCATCTAATAAAAAAAATTAATAGACCTTATAGCAAAAGCAAGATATGAAATTATATTTTAGGGTCACTAGATTCAAGTCAAGCGGCTATCTCCTCAGGAAGAGTTGTATCATGGGCTCACCACATTTGAGTGGATATTTCCCTTATAACTCTGGTCATATAATAAAAAATACAACTTATAACAAAAGTAAGATATGAAATTATATTTCAGGGTCACCACATTCTAGTCAAGTGGTTATCTCCCCAGGAAAAGTTATATCACGGGCTCACCACATTTGAGTGGATATTTCCCCTATCGCCTGTATTCTAAAAGCTCACTCATGCTCACACTCACTGAGTGGAGGTTCGATCTGAGCTTCTCTTGAGTGTCATTGCTGCTTTTGCAAAGCTGGGGAGTTGGTGTCGAACCTTACTATGTGACTACTCACCCTCCACCTATTCAAAAACGACATTGGCACCTTCTATACATCGTTGCATCCTCGTTCTCCATTTCTGAAAGCATTTGGTGGTATTCTGGAGCATGTATGTCCCTCAGCACCGCAACGACAACAACAACAACAACACCAAGACCAACACTAACAACAACAACAACAACAACAACAACAACAACAACAACAACAACAACAACAACAACAACAACAACACAACAGCAACAACAACAACAACAACAACAGCAACAGCAACAACAACAGCAGCAACAGCAACAACAGCAACAACAACAACAACAACGACAACAACAACAACAACGACAACGACAACAACAACAACAACGACAACAACAACATCATCATCAACAACATCATCAACAACAACAACAACAACAACAACAGCAACAACAACAACAACAACAACAACAACAACAACAACAACAACAACAACAACAACAACAACAACAACAACAACAACAACAACAACAACAACAACAACAACAACAACAACAACAACAACAACAACAACAACAACAACAAGATTTATTTGTACCCAAATTAAAATATTTACATTTAGAATTATATCAGAAAAAAATATTTAAGAAGAGTACCTGCTACCTGTAATAACCATAATAGCTAATAAGATCAGGCAGCAGAAACAAGTCTGATTGGGTTTACGAATTTATAAGTTATCTAATTAAAAAAACGAAGAAAGAAAAACATCGAAAAAAACCAATCCACTCAATGTTTAAAAGCAACATTAGGAAGAGAGGCAAACAAATGTGTCATTCTGAGTATACAAAGCTAGCTAATATCCGGCGTCGATGGAATCAATTTTAAATTTCTTTTTAAAGGAGAAAGGTATTTTAAGTTTTCATCTATATCGATCAATACCTTTACACCTTGAAATCGAAAGTTATATTTTCCATAATTAGTCCTTTCCCCTGGAATTGAGTAAGAGATCTTATTTTTTATCACTGCACACAGTTAATTGGGTTCTTCCACTAAGATAAGAAGTAAACCAATCATTATCTACATCCTGATTCCAAAATGTTCCAGTTTTTGAATAGGGATTTGATGGTTAACTGTATCGAAAGCTTTACTAAAATCTAAGAATATTCCACAATAATACTCTCGCTTGTTAATTGAATTCTGTATCTTATGAATAATATTCAAAACAGCATAATCTGTGGAGAGTAGTCACGAAAACCTATGGTGTTCCGTTACGGACAATATTATGAAAGTTGTAGATATAATATCATATCAAAGCTAATATTAAAATGCCAAAACTCGCAATATAAATATGAAACGTTCCATATAATATCAAGTCGTCAAACGTTATACCAAAGTCATGGACAATTTATATCAAAACATCTGTAACAAATATATAAATGCACGCATTAAATATTAAAATCCGTAATCAAAATTTTCAATCAAAATTTTCACGCACACAAAAAATATCAAATTTCACGCACACAAAAAATATCAAATTTTACGCACACAAAAAATATCAAATTCTTACGCATACAAAAAATATCAATTTTTTCGAACACAAAAAATATCAAATTTTCACGCACACAAAAAATATCAAATTCTTACGCACACAAAAAATATCAAACTTGTAGATAAAAAGCGGACGCGGACGGCAGAGGGCAGACGACGAAGCATTAAATTAAAGAATATCAGCCTTAGATCTGTAAAATGAATATGTTTTCACCCACTCGAATGGCTTTAGCATTCAATTCGTATGTATGATAGGCTATTCGCCGTCTTTCTCGGGAAACGTTTGGAAATATTGTAAGAG